TCTATATATATATATATATATATATATATATATATATATATATATATATATATATATATATATATATAATGTGTGTTGGTAATAGTAAATAGACCATAATTTTTACAATATTCTATAAATTCAACCGAATGTTTGGCGTTAATATGTTTGTAGTTCGTTTTTTCAATTTTTCTCACTAAATTTTTTTTTTAATAAATTTTTTATTAAAATTCAAAATAAACTTATTTTCCGAATTCATGCTGCAAATAAGGCCATATTTAAATTCTGAATGAATCATCATCAGTGCTTTCTACTGTTTATACGGGGAAATATTGACTTTGTCAAAATGAATTTAGATGGAGATTGACTTTGTCAAAGTGAACTTAGATGGAAATTAAGTTCTTTATTGGCTGGTCATCTTCTTTGGTCTCCTTTTCTTCATCGATAGCATCATATTCTTCTTTGTCATTATTTACAATTCTAGTTTTTATTACTTCTTTGTTTTCGTTGTTGGTTAAGCGCCGGATTGGTAGTGAGGTTGTCATTTTTTGTTGTATATTTATTTTTGGTTTATTGATGTCAATTAGGACTGCTTCTGCAATTTTAAGATGCGTGTAGTTGCTGTTCTGGTATATTACTTTGGTGTTACTCTGTTTATGCATCGTAAGCCTTCTAGTCAATGAGGTTAGTAGTAATCCCGATATATGAGTCATGTTGACGTGCACAGCCGTCAAAGGGGCAATTAAATTCATATATTACGTGATTACGCCTTAGCACAGAGTTATCTCTAGGACTACAGTTGTTTTTCAGTATTAGGTGAGGCGTCTTTTTATTGTTGTAATATATTCGGAGTTTAACTTTATTATTTGGGTTGGTTGGTGTGACATTTTTATTGATGATATGTTTAAGAATAGTTTCATCAACTTTGTATGCTGTTGACATGTGATTTCTGTAATACAAGATGATGTCGTTATCATGATTGTTGGTACTAGGAAGGTTATTTTTGTGTAGTAATTCGCCTTTAACAATCTTTTCAATAGAATAAGTCTTATATCCATTATTTACAAGCAGGTTAGTGACTCTTTTTAATTCGGCGTCGCGATTTTTAATATCGGAAGAGTGTGTGAATGCCCGGTTTACAAATGATTTTATTGTGCTGTCTTTAAATTGTTCGGTACATTAACTTTGTCCATTCAAACAAATCCCTGTATTTGTTTCTTTGACATAGACCGCAGTCTTGAATCGTTCTTCGTCACGGGTGACCAACACATCAAGGAAAGGTGAACGTTGTTCCTTCACCATTGAAATTCTGTAGATTTCATAAATTACTGCATTAATTATAATCTTTTACCAGCATCATATATAAATACTGGTATAAGACCATAATTAATGCAGTAATTTATGAAATATACCGAATTTTTAGCATTAAATAGACCAAGAATCAGTATTATTTAAGGAATATTTTAGTATCAAAGGCAGAATAAAAGTCAAGAGCAAGAAGAAAAGTAAAAATACTATAGAGAAAAGATATCGCTATGAATTTTAAGAAAGTGCTTCAGTACAGTAAGAAACTTTGAAACTAGATTTAAATACGGGTAGCAAGGAGGTTAAATGACATGTAAAATAAAATTTTTATAAGTACATGCATACATTTTAATTTTGTAACTGTACACTAATACCGACCATGGGGCAGCTATCAATGATGGATTCCAAAATGTAATGGAACACGCACACACATATTTAATATTTGATAAAATCTACCGAATTTTTCGCTTTTAAATGTTTACAATTGAGCTTTTCAATATTTCTAACAGTAATTTTGTAATACCCGTTAATATTAAACTTAGTTAACAAAGTAAATGACTAAATAAATATAAAATATGAATAAAATATAATAAATTGTATAGCGAAAACGGTGCCGTCTAATAAATATAATAAAAAATAGTATTTATATTAACTTAAAATTGTTTAAATATATAAAACATGTATAAAAATTTTTTAAAATTTATTTTATTTAAATTAAAACAGTAGCAAGTTCAATTTTAAAACCCTTTGAAAAAACCGTATGAAAAAACGAATGTGTATAACATGGATATATATAATATGGATATGGCAGAAGCGTTATATATACATACATTTTTCATATATATATATAACATCAAGGTAAATCTAACAAATTTGATGCATAGAATAGCAATAATTGTTTAAAAGTGAATTTAAGTTAAAGTAAATAATCAGTTTTTAACCGGTTGCTTTACGATTATCGTCCGTAATTTGATTTTTAGCACCATTACATGTACATATAAAGGTTAGCCTCTAGCTTCTAGCATCATCCAAAAGATGTTTCATTTTAGAAAAATTGAACAAAATGTATAGATGTCAATAATAAAATAATTATGAACATCCATTTATTTGCCAAAATTTTCCTGAATCATAATGATTAATTTGTCATTAAATTTTGAATTAAACCTTTATTTTATAACATTTTTTCAGATTTAAAAAAAATTTATAATTTGATGACATTGAAGATAACTGTACTTGTTATTAATCAAGATGGATGAATGGTATGTATCAAAGTGTATGTGTAGTAGATTCATCCAAAAGATGTTTTATTTCCAGGACAATTGAGCAAAATGTATGAATGTCAAATATTGAAATAAATATGAACATCCTTACATTTTGCCATAAATTTTCCGGAATCAAAATCTAAAATCATTTTATTTTCTACTAACAACCTATTTGATAATTAAGTCGGTAGAGACGAGAAAAGCAACTTATTTAAATGTTATGATATAAAAAAACGAAAACTTCGTGTAGGCGATTAAATTTAAAACAGTAAAACGAAATGTCAACTACAATGAAAAAATGTTTACGCTCAAATTAAGTTCTCTATTCCATAGAACTAAAAAAAATTATTAACCAGGAATTAATTCTTGTGCCATATCCACTATATCCATGTGTATAACAGCCTGCAATTCATGTCAAAGGTATATTGTATCTATCTAACATATGTGGTAATGTTGTTGTATGAGATATAATGAATTGATTAATGTCACTTACATATTGAGGATGGTCAACGTCAACGTGTACAGTTATTCTATTATTTGTGTAAACATTATTCATATACTAAGTGTACGTACACATAAATATAATTTATGCACATATATACATGAACACACATGGGCAAACATGCTCACTCACACACACACACACACACACACACACACACACACACACACACACACACACACGTACATTAGCTACCGTCGACATCTTAGCCTCTAGACCCGAAACCTTTAAACGCACATATCGCTTAGTAGGCTTATTTGCTGCGTGTATAAGCGTCTTGTTATGCAGTGCAATTATATAATTTCATTTTTTATTTTATTTAAATGAAACAAGAAAACTGTTTTAAATATTAATTTTTTTTTATTAATCGAAAATTCATGAAATAAAAAAATATAATATGAAAATATTTTTTTACTTTTCAACTTTTTTAATTTATTGTTTTTATTAAATTTATTGTTTTTTATTTATACTGTCATTAATATTTTTTAACAAATTTTCACAGATGCAGTTGAAAGAATGTTATGATTACTAAAATAGAACATATCTTCAACCAACAAAATGTCATTTTGTGTATAATTATTCACAAGTGTTGTGAAAAGTCTTCGTTGATAGACGGAGGTTTTGAAAAGTTTCATAGCTGTTTCTGAACTTTTTATAGTTTGAAAAATGTGCTAGCAGCTTAGACAAGCTGAAAATGTATATTCAGCTGGCTTCAACAAACCTCCTCTGTTGATGTCTTGCCAACAAACTACAATGTCATCCAAAAAGACCTCCCTGCAGTCAAGACATCTAATCGTACTAAGTATACTTTTCACTACTGCCCCCTGCTACATTATATATTGTACTGGCTTCATTGACATCTGGTCATTCAAGATTAGATAATTCTTTTAAAACTTTTGAAGAGTTGTTGATTTTTACACAATCTCTGTCAAAACTAATGCCATCAATAAATTTTAATTGAAGATATTCATCAACACTCCAATCAAAAAAATTAAACAAGCTTTTAATTGATGTTTAGCAACCTTTTTTGTAGTTTAAAATTTGTCTCTGTAGAATTTTCAATTAAATATCCATTTAGACGAGCGAGGACATTTAATATTTGACTAATCCTTGTTAAGTCTTTTTCAATAATACCATTCATGAATGAATGAAGAAGTTTTACTCATTGATTATGCACTGTCACTTCATAATTTTTACTAATCAGCATTGAAAATGCAACTGATGGACAATTATTTTTAATTTCAATTTTGTATATAATCAAAAAATTGTTCATTAATTCAAATTCTGAGGGGAAAGTGCATTCTTCAGACAAACGTTGTTTTAAATCATTCAATCTACAATGTTTAGAAAATCAGTTTTTAGGAACTCTTCTTCAGCTGCTTTTTCTGTCTTTACAATATCTAACACGAGACAAGTAGCTGATGAAGATTTTGTTGTGGATCGAGGTTGTTGTGTTGGAGTGGACAAATATGAAAGTGCATTCTAAAATTTGGATGATACTGCATCTTCTTTTAACTTTCTTCTTTGCTTCTCCATAACAGTACTAGCAATCCCCACAGTTCTGTTCTATTTTTCTTAATACCAATCATTAAAACATTTTGGTCAAAGCGGAGTGAACAAATTTTGGAATATTTGTTTGGAACATAATCTTTACGAGAATTAGCACATATCCATTTTTTAATTGGTAGGCGTGAAACGATACGTCGTTTTTCTCGTCACTTGCTGCATTTGATTTGTATCCACTTTTACATCCGTAATTTATTTACCATTTTATATATATAGTTACAAATATTAAATACAAATTGAAATTATTTAAAATGAAAAAAATTAACGATTAATAATACAAAAGTTTTCAGTAAATGAACGATGATTGAAACTCAGCAGCATTTAAAACGTGCACCACAAATAAACAAAGATAGTTTAAGCAAACGACATTTATTTAACGAAGCGATAGCTTAATGCATGGGCCTACTAAGCTTATATTATGATGTTTGTGTGTTAAGGGTTTCGGGTCTAAAGGCTGATACATCAAGATGTCTATGATTAGCTACATACAACAAATATCAATAAAGTGGTTCAGTATACGTCCAATCTTTGAAGGTTATCGATCTGAATTGAACAGATTGACCAACGACGTCGCGACAGAAGTCTGTTGTCTTCTAGAACCACCGTCAACATGATTCAGATTAACTGAGTCAAATTTGGGTTGGTTTGGTTGTTGGGTCGTTGTGCTGTTGTGTTGTTATCATTTTGAGAATACAGTTGAAGAATGCGGTCGAAGCTGTTGATTTGTTTGTTGAGTGTTGGTTTATTTTTGTGTAAGTGCAAATCTTTTTTTATTTTTAAGCGGATTGGATGTGGTTCAAAATTGACGATCTTGGTTTTAGTTTCCAGGGCGGCACGCATGAGAATTTTTCTAGATATAAAATCCAGATTTGCAGAAAGGTAAAGATGTTTTAGATAATGTACCGCGGAAAGCATCAAAGATGATCAAAGGTCTTAGAAAACTTCAATATAAGAATAGATTGAGAAAATGTGAACTCACTACTCTAGAAAAAAGAAGGTACAAACTGATTACCAAAAAAGAGGATACGCCGTTTAGCAGATTGATCCAATTGGAGGCTAGATAAAGACTATGAAGTCATAGATACAAGCTTTTTAAAAAACCAAATCAAATCAAATCAAACAAAACATTCTTAGCAGCAGGGTGATAAACAACTGGAATAAACTGAATAACAAAACGGTTTCCGTGAAATCAACCAACAGTTTAAAAATCAAGCTTGGAGAATTAAGATATTAGAACAAATATTTGGCAGTGACTCTCATACAGTCACTGGTCTAGTGAACTGGTATAAACCTGTTATGTTATAATATGTTATGTTATTTTATGTTATGTTAAATTTATACTAAACCATACATATATAGAAAATAAAATCTTTTTCTTGCTGGCAGTTTTTCCATTTATTCCGCTATACGAACTGCATCATCAGCATATCTCACATTGTTTTTATTCACTCCTCCAATGGATATTACATATGGATCATCTATCTTTTTCATGATGATCTCACTATAGAGATTGTACAAGTCTGGGTAGAAAACAGCTTTTCCGAACACCTTTTTTATTTTGACAAAACTAGTCATTTTGTCCCCAACTTTCATCGCTGGTTTTAGTTTATTATAAAGGTTTTTGATAACTTTTGTCCTTATGGAGATTTATGATAATTTTTATGTTTTTTTCATCAATGCCTGCATTTCCTAATAATTCCATAAGTTTTACGTGTGTTACGCTATCTAAAACTTTCGAGTAATCAACAAAACATATAAAGAAGTCTTTCTTCATTTCAGTCACTTGTTCACTTGTAGCATAAAGATAGCGTTTTCTTGTCCTTGCAATCCTTGCAAAACTATATTGGACATTTGAAATTTTAGATTTGATTTTGTTTTGTGCACTCATCATTAAAATTTTTAGAAAAAATTTTGTGAGATGACTCATCAAGCTTCAATATAGTTCACATTTGGTTGCATTAGATTTTTTAAACAATGCCATAAATATTAATTTGGATAAATCTTAAGGAATCTTAAACTATTGAATATTTTATTCAAAACTTTTGTCACTTTTTCAATGCCAAATTCATCAAGACATTTAATTTCTTTTACAACTATTTTATCTAGGCTTGGTGCTTTATTTGATTTCATTTTGGAATGAACGGCACAAACTTCGGATCTTTTTACGTCTTTTTTAGTAGGAGGATTTTGATCACAAATATCATTAAAAAAATCATTAATGTATTTAGTTTGTCTTTTAAGTACTTTTTCTTTCTTAAAGATTACTCTACCAGAATTAACTTTTATGCATCTAGAAATGGTACAAGTTCTAATTTCAGTGATTTTCTTGATGTTTTTATGCATTGCATTTGTATTATTGTTAATAACTTGTCAATTAACAATTTTTCTTTTGCCTAGATGCTCATTTTTTTGAATGTTTTGTCCAGCCTTTTGTATCTGTCATTTATTAGAGATATGATGGATTTTGCTATCCATTTTTGACGTTTTCTTAGCTCTGTCACAAATATCATTTTTGATGATTCTATGAGGGCATCTTTAAGTATTTCATGTTTTGATTTATTTACGTTTTCTATCAATAAACGTAAACGATTCCGTACTTCAACGTTGTACCTGACCTTGATCTCATCATTTTGTGACAGACTAACAAAATTCAAACGTTTTGGGGCGACTTTACATTAAAATTTATTTTGATTTTATGATTTTACAAACAATTGGTTTATGGTCACTGCCGCAATCAGCTTTAAGATAACTTTTGCATTGTAAAACAACATTTTGAAATTGTCTATTTATTGTAATGTAATCAATCATAATTTTTAATTTGTTTTCGTGACTATTTCAAGTATATTTTTTTGCGTGATTGTCAAATTAGGTTCTGGTTCTAATTTGATCACTTGCGACACACCATTCAACCAACTTTTCTTCTCTTCCATTTCTTTCACCTTTTCCGTGAGGACCAAAAACGTCATAAATTTTTTCTAAGCCAACTTTTGCTTTTAGGTCACCCATTGTAATAACAACTTTCTGAGCTTTACTTTACATGTTTTTAAAACATGGTCAAGAATACAGAGAATAAAAAACTAATACATAATTTCTAAACTATCTTAGTTTTCCATATTTTAATCTTCCATTGTAAAAACTTGTTAGCGTGACAGACGTGTTATTGACGTGTTTTTCTCAACATGGTACGTACGTTTTTAAGAATTGTTTTTTTTATATAAAAGCAGTGTTTTTGTTTCATTAATTATTGAAGCTATTTATTAGCAAAATATGGTGTATTTTTGAAGAATGCGCCGTAAAGCTATGACTGTAAAACCTTAGTACGCCACCCTCTAAGTTAGTTATTATTATTTTATTATCAAGAACAAAAATGGGCAAAAACATAAAGCCCACATCAATAAACATAAATTGTATAATGTCATTTTAACGCAAATCAAATAAAATATAACATAATATTAAATAAAAATAATAGATAAGAATAAAAGCATAAATAATGATAAAAAAAAACATCATTAATTAATTGATAGTCAAGCAAATCTGTAAAAATAAACCAATGTCAGCTTTCCAATCAAATTTAAAATCAACATTCATCAAGGCACCATCCAACATTTTTTTAAACCCATTTACTCCACAAGCGTTAACAACATCCTCATTCAAATCATTCCAAATGTTTAATATTCTGCTGTAACAATAGTTTTTTCTCAAATTGCTTCTAAATGGCGAAGTGTTGATTCTCAAACTATGACCTCTTGTATATCGGGAAATCCTCTTCTATCTTTTGCATTCATTGCATGGTATAGCATGATCAAATCACCGCGTCCTCTTCTGTATTTTAATGTTGGCAGTTTTAGGTACCTCAACCGAGTTTGCACTTGTTGTTTACACTCTTAGAATAATATTGAAGGCCTTTAAATTTGGTTCTGCCTCATTATCCTGTAATATTAACATTCATGTTAATATTACAGGATAATGATGTAGAATGAGTTCTAGTGCTTTCTAGAACCGTTATTTTTCTATCTGCAATTGTATGCAGCTACATAAATTCTACAAGCTATGATGATACGTGAGCAGCATACAAATTGTGGTTTGATGGTTTAGGCCAGTTATGGTTGTGATGCTGTTATAAGCAGTCTATTAATCCGACCAAACTATAGTACCTAAATTAATAAAAAAAACTATTTCATAACTAACCAAAATTAATTTTAAAACATTAAAATTTATGAAACCAACCGAGCAGAACATGTTGCTGTAGATACAGCAACAACGTGGCAGCATCTTGCTTTTCTGCTTTCACCAAAAAGACATCTCTTGTTTGCATATCGATGCCTCCAAAAAACTGGTGCAATCATTTTTATATTATTTTTTATATTAAAGCTCTTTCATGTAAGAAATTGTACCGCGTAACTATTTCATTTAAATTTAATCTGTATTTTATTTTAATTTAATTTGTATTTTAATATATAAACTTATTAATTAACATTTTTTAAAGATAGTTTTCTAAATTTATTTAATAATAATGATTTAATTTAATTTTATTCTCAACTTTCAAACAATTTCTTAAAAATTTATTAATAATTTATTACAATAAATTGAAGCTCTTCGGTTGGTCATAAATATCAAAGGTGGGTCAAATTTAAAGGTCTTCAATATTTTTCTCTGTAAACCACTTGCAGGTTTTACTAGCTATGACAAAGTCTCTATCACTAGTCTGGCATTTGTTTTTCGTTGTGTGCGCTGGGCTCAAAAATTATTATTTAACGTTTTCTCTGCTTGGTTAGCAATATAAGGCAATCATGAAAAATATGCCGTTTAAGCTCCGCCCACACTTTTTGATCTTCTCATTTGCAAAGAATAGCTTTTTATTTTATTAATCTATTGCTTTACTTTTAATTAATTAAATCATTTAATTATATAAAGAATGATTTTACGAAGCAATGTTATGATTTTTTATTTTATTTAGAAATTTTTATACTTATAATTAAATGATTTTATGATGCAATTTACAATGCAATTGAAAATTTTCATAATTGACCTAGCATACAGATCTATTCTATACGAATTAAATTATTTAATATACTTTTAAAAAGATATGAAATAAAACTTTGTTTCGGTTGTATAATGAATAACAATGGATTTTTGTTATTATTTTATATTTCATTTTAAGCACTGTGTAGTTTAAAGATCGTCCCATTGGTTGATTCTAAAAAGAGCCTTTTGTTGGACATTTTTCAAACTAGATTATATGTCCTAATCAAAGTGAGCGCCCTTACAAACTTATCTTCACTCCTAGCAATGCTTCTAGGCCACATAAATTCATCCAAATAAGATAAATGGTTATTACATATTATTTTTCATTCTTGTCCTTGGCGCATCTCCAAAGATTTTCCATTTCATTTGTCTGCATCGCTAGGAGCCTTGAATGTTCTTGAATAGTTGACGGTGTTATAATGGTAGCCAATATTATAAATGGCATTGTCGATTTTTTAAACTAAACTGTTGTACCTGTTAAACAAGTATAATGAACATGAAGGGAGCAATGTCGTAATGTCACTTCTTTCAACCTCAACTAGGAATGCATCACTGGTCCTTGTCAATTCCACCAAAGATCTATCTTTGGTGAATAGGGCATTGCAACACCGCTTCACGTTCTTTTTGAACTGCTTGCCACACTTTCATCAATTTGAACTATGTGACCAGGAGCACCAATTTACAAAGGTTGAGCGGCCATCCGTGAAGAGTACAGTACAAATTGGCGTGTTGCTATATCTACAAAAGCATGGGTACATTTGCTTGTTGTATGTCATTCAATGACCAGAAGGACGTCATCTAAAAAAAATTACTTACATAATTGAATTTAGCCATAAATTTATCAATTTATATCAAAATACATTTACCATAACACATTTTTAATAGAAAGTTTACTTCTCTGGATAAAACTCCAGGTTCGGATTGCCCTACAATTGTTGAACCATCGAAAAACCACCCCATTCTTCAAGTTTTTTGGGGGGACATTTTCGTCTTCAGTCTGCATTTGCAAACACGAAATTATGTCAACAATTCGTGTTCTTGACACCAACTAATGCAACCCTCCTTTACTATCACTAATGCATTTATCTGCATTGATGAGATATCACTGACGCTGGAATAAAGCGAACATCGTTAATTTTCTTATGAGATAATGATAAAACTTCATGAATCATGTTTCAATTAATTTTTAGCATAAATATTTTCAGCTTAATTTTTCTAACAGTAGATCGTATTTCATTGTCAAGTTTCTTGAGTTCAAAACCAAATTTTTTTTTTATTTTAAGCATGATAGAACATAAAAGCTTATTTCGCTATTCCTATAACATCTTCGGTGTTTGAATTTAAAAAAATATTCTGTCATGTTTAAAATAAATATAAATTCTGGTTTTGAACTCAAGAAATTTGCCAATAATTTACAATTACTGTTAGAAAAATTGAAAAATTAAGCTGAAAACATTTAGGCTAAAAATTAATTGAAACGTGATTCATGAAGTTTTATTATATGCTGTCTGTTGGTGCAAACTCCTCTTGTTTCGTGTCTAACATTATTTCATAAGAAAATTAACGATGGCCGTTTTATTCCAGCGTCAGTGATACTGTTAGAAAAATCAAATAATTAAACAGAAAGCTAACTAATGCGGATTATGCTGTGATTTTCATCAATAATGACAGTCTTAATCCAATATACACATATATACTATTTTCACCTATATACATATATATATATATATATATATATATATATATATATATATATATATATATATATATATATATACTATACTTTGTATACATTGTATACGTTGAATATTATTATTATTCTCTTAAGTATCTTTTTTATTTTGTTTAGATATTGTTATATACTTTCAGACGCATATATAATTTTAATCACATTTTGTTGCACACACCATGCACATTAAAATGGCAAAAAATATATGAGCAGTTTATGACATTTTTTTTGTTCTACAATCAAATTGATTTAAATATATTCGAACCAGCTTCCGTACCGACGTCAGTTTATTTCACAAATCATCACGAATGTCTTGATTGTTCTTCAAAAAAATAACCTTATAAAATCCGAGATAAACGCTCTACTCCTTCCTCACTCCTTGAATTGGAGGCGATCCAGTCTAGGCCGTCATTTACAGTACTTGCAGATGCTTTGAACAACAACAACTAGTCATTCAACAGCACGCTCAACAACCACAACCGCAGCAAAACGATCAGCAGCAACACAACGAACTCCTGGACATCTCTGACAACAACCAGATTTAGTAGGCGGACAAGTTGGTCTGGGGTACCATCGTTATCATCATGACAGCCATCCATACAGTGAAGGTGGACATTATGATGGGAACAGGGAATGCGATCCGGTTGACTGGACCAAAGCGCTGATCAGGAATGAAAAATTGGAACGTAAACTGTTTGGAGAAGCCCACACTGGCATCAACTTCAGCAAGTACGCGGACATTCCTGTTCAAGCCACCGGCGCTGATTGCCCTCCCCACATCGACAGCTTTGATGACATTGACTTGGGCGAGATAATCATGAACAACATAAAGTTGAGTCAGTACGAAAGACCAACACTTATGCAGAAGTATGCCATTCCCATCATTGTCAAGAAGAGAGATATCATGGCTTGCGCTCAGACAGGTTCAGGCAAGACGGCAGCCTTCCTTGTTCCAATTTTGGGTCAGATGGTCAGATCTATGCTTATGGACCGTGAAGCAGTGCTTCTAATGACTCGGTCAGCTCTCGACCTTACAAGCAAGAGAAGCAGTACCCAATTGCATTGATCCTGGCCCCTACAAGAGAGCTAGCGAGTAAGATACATGATGAGGCCAGGGAGTTCTCCAATTTTTTTTAATTTTTTTTATTAGTCTTTATTATTGCAGCTCTGACATACGCAGAACCACTTACAATGTTACAGATATATATTATCTATATATCTTTTATTATGTTCTTTAAATTCTCATCTATTGATTTGAAGCAGCTATCTTCGCCACAAAGGCTGTTTTATCCTTTTCACACGACGTACACATGGATTTTATGTGCACGCGCAAGCACCGCATCATATACGCTGAGTATATGATAGCCATTGAGATGTTTGACTCAGCGAGCATTTGAACCACTGAGCCATCTCGCCGGCCAGCATGCGACAACTTACGTCGTCTACCCATTTACCAACCTCGAAAGGATGGACGACTGGGTTGACCGGGGGTCGGCTACCCGGATGAACCTGCAGAAACTGCAGAGTTCGAACCCGGGTCGTGGGAGTGGTAGACGGACACGCTAACCACTCGGCCACGAGACCCCACGTTCGTGTCCGCTATTGTCCGCACGTTCGTGTGTGCATCGAGTGCGGAGGAGCAGATATCAATGCACAAATGCAGGATCTTCTCAAAGGATGTCACTTGTTGGTAGCCACCCCCGGTAGATTGGTTGACATGATTGAGAGAGGAAAGATTGGCATGGATAGAGTCCAATATCTAGTGCTGGATGAGGCAGATCGCATGCTGGATATGGTGTTTGAACCGCAAATCCGTCGAATTGTCGAGAAGGACACACTGCTCGCGACAGGAGTTCGACACATACTCATGTTCAGTGCCACATTCCCCAGGGAAATTCAGATTCTTGCTCGTGACTTCTTGCACAATTACATTTTCCTTGCTGTTGGCAGATTCGGTAGTACCAGTGAGAACATCAAACAGAAGGTGTTGTGGGTTGAAGAAAATAAGAAGAGGGTTGTCCTCTTGAACTTCTTGCTGCTTCAAGTCCAAACAACTTGATCCTGATATTTGTGGAAACCAAACAAGGAGCTGATCAGTTGCATGCTTTTCTCTCCATGGAGAACTTTTCAACCAACTCGATACATGGAGACAGATCACAGAGGCAGAGGGAAGAAGCATTGAAAGCATTCAAAACTGGCAAGACTCCTATTCTTGTTGCTACTGCAGTCGCCGCTCGTGGATTGGACATTAGCAATGTGAAGCTAATTTATCAATTTTGACCTGCCTGGTTCCATTGAATATGTTTACAGGATTGAAAGGACTGGAAGAGTCGAAAATTTGGGATTGGCAACAAGCTTTTTTAATGAGAAGAATCGAGGCCTGGCAAAGGATCTGCTGGAGTTGCTGTCAGAGGTTCACCAGGAAGTTCCGATCTGGTTGAACGACATGGCTAGCCGGAATTATTACGGAGGATACTTCTCAGATGCAGCCGGTGCTGCTGCTGGCAGTGCTAATGAGAATCCCAGTGCTATCAAGAGATTCAATACATGGTTTGCCTCTCGAGACTACAGGCAGCATCATCAACTTCAACAAGCAACGTAGCAACCGCAACTTGCTCGTCCACAGCCCAACTTGGCCACTGCCATCCGGCGGCGGCGGCAGCTGCTGCTCACAGCTGCACAGCATCCACATTATCCCTGACAGTGAACCAGAAGAAGGGAGGTTGCGTGTTGCGGCGACGGCCCGGTATAGGCCCGACGCTAATCTCCAAAAATTTCATCTTTGTCGTCGTAAGTGCCTCCCTCCTTTATCCTTAAAACATTAATGTAGGATTAATGTTGAAAGGATAATGATACATCATTTTAACCAATTTGATGGAAATATTTTTTTTGTTTCCTTGTTTAAAATATGCCAGACACTGTTTTTCTGAGATTTTGATACACTTTCATAAATTGTTGTATATAAAAAATGTTCCAATTCTCTTGTTCAGTTAGTACTAGTACCAGTGAATCAGTTATTTGTGTAGCTTGATGAGTGCTGTGACTATCGAACAGTTACATTTACATGGTTCCACGTGACAGTATGCATTAATTTTTCAATTTAGTACAACTTCTGCAAAATATTGATGCCTTCTCATTATATTGATTGAGTGTTAGGATTCAGTTTGATTCAAAAATGCTGTTTCATTGCTGGATTATTCTGTCGTAGTCATCAAGTCAAGCAAATAAATAATTAAAATATTGGCAATGTTTACCATAATTATCAACAACTGTCAATTTTTTGTTCAAAATTTTCATAAATCAAATATAATAATGCTGATCGTTCTAGAATGAGGAATATTAATAACTGAATAATAGAATAAAGGTGAAGACATAATTATTTAAAAATATTGCTGACTTTTTATATTGCAATCAAGCAAATATCATGTTCAAAAATGTTTTATTACCCTTTTTTATGATTCTCTTTTTTTTTAATTTGACGTTTTTTCAACAATTCTTTGAATCATTTCAAAAATATCAAGACAAATTTACCACGAACTATCAATTCCATGTTGGATTGAAATACTTTTTATTTCATGTATGTCATGGAGTGTTTTGTTTGGTGGTATTTTGTTTTTTGAGCTTTCCATTTTTATATTTGCACTTATTCATCAATGATTTATAGCAGTCAATCTTTTCATGTTTCATAAATTGAAAAAATGCAAGAGCTGTTATTTTATATAAATTTGCACTTATTTTGATGATATTAACTTTAAAATTAAAAAAGTATCAATAATACAATGAGAAGTACACTATTATTGTAAGTAAAATTAATGAAACATGAAAAACTGAATTTATTTTGCAATTTAAAAGTCCAAAGAAATTTTTGAAATTTATTGCAGGCTGTATTTAGTGAAATTATTATTTAAACCTAAATACGTTTTTGCATTCATAGCATACATTTTTTCTTTACATTAGGTGTCGGTGATTAATTCCATTGATACGTCTCATGATGACATGATCGTTAGTATTGATCTTTTTATTTTCATTCATGATTTTTCTTAGTCCTTCAATTATTTTTCATCTGCACAAAATTTAAAAAAAAATTCAAATAAATTATTTAAGATTTGTAAATGTTTTTTTGTATTTTTTGGTTATAGCACATAGTTACTTTCTTTTTATATCCAAAGAACTATTAGTTTGGCCTATACAGAAATTAATATATCATGTTTTGAATAAATTTGGAAAATAAAAAACAGTAAAACTGATAAGTCCTATATGAGAAGATAAAAAGTTATTTATTCATACTTCTACCTAAAAATGAAACAGCATGACGCCCAGATGGATTACTATGGAGTAAGGTTAGCTACATGCTCCACCGACCGATCTGTCAGAATATTTGATGTGCGCAACAATCAACAGCTTCTAGTTGCCACCTTGAAAGAGTATGTATTGTTTTAATATATCAAAAATTTAATTTCAAGACTATTTTAAAAAATGTTTATACATTCCTTTAATGGAAACCTTTATCCCAATCCAATCCTTTAAAAATAAATCTACTTAAAGTTCTGATTTGTATATATTAAAAAGCTGTTTAGATATACAATATTTAGCTTGAATTTAAATATTTTTTAAAATTTAATTTAAATAAATTGAAAAACGATCCACAAAAGTTACCAAAAAATTATTTCAGTTGAAATTTTTTTTATGTATTTTATGATTTACATGATTTTTTTATATATGTTGTAACCCTTGACCTCGTAACTACCAACACCAATGTTATAACTTCAATGATCTCTATATTTCCAACACCAGCGTTGTAGCTTCAAACGATCGTCAAGTATTCGTTATGCCGTAGGTTCAAGAAATCCGATAGGTGAACACAACTGCTTTAAATGCAAACTTTATTGAACGTTTATTTGAATACCAAAAGTAATAGAAACAATAAACCAATTCAAATAACTACATAAATCGCATTTACGACTTTGCTTTCTCTGCTGGAAACCTGATTGTCAACCTGACTTAAGCAGGTTGTATATATATAGGCCGATTTTATAATCATAAATACAATATTTTTTTACACTTCATGGTTTACAATCCAAAGATTACAAATATAGCAAAGACAACAGTAGTTGAATAATAAATAATATAACGCATTTCGATCGTTCTCACGGTTATAACAATATGTTAATTTTTGTTTTGTTTTTAAAAAATTGTTTATTCAGTTATATCCATTTTCTTTTTTTCACAAATTTGCATGCAGACACGAAGGACCAGTGTGGCAATTAGCATGGGCTCATCCAATGTATGGCTCCCTCTTGGCGTCTTGTGGATACGATAAAAAAGTCATCATCTGGAAGGAAACCAATGGTGTCTGGGGAAAAGTATATGCTTATGATGGATTTGATTCATCGGGTCTGTTTTCCAGTGGTTTTTTTTATTTTGTTCATGTTATGTAAATAGTCATCATCGTCGTCGTCATAGATGCATGACTCAGGTTAAAGTTTTAACACATCACCTACTTTTCATTTCAAAATTTGTTCTTTATGAAATCAATTCAAACATTTCTTTTAAGATTTTCATGCCAGATTAGATTTTTTGTTGCTTGCATCAAATTCACCACAAGCGTTAATTCAGTTTTTTATTGTTTATTCTGAAATTTTAAATGCTGATTCATAATTTGCTCTATTTGCCATTTTCAAACTCATTTTATTAAATTAGGTTATTTGTTTTTACCTAAGCCAAGTATTTAAAAGTTACGTTTTAAACTTAACCTGTTCTAAAATCACTGTTTATTCACCTTTCATTTGCTGTTATTGATCTTTCTCTTTCCATCAAATGCATTTAAATTTTTTTAATTTGAGATAACTTTTTAAATATTTTTATCACTTAATTTTTTTCTATCTTTCCAATTTTTGCGTGCATTGATCTCATTTAAAGCCAAGTATGATGTACGCATGTATGATGCTTTGTTTTGCGCATATAGCTATGCTATTTGTTGGTGTGAAGTTGAATCCAGTCACTACCAAAGAGCTAATACTTATTCCATTTATTTTTTCATTCCAAACATATATTTGCAGTAAATTCCGTCTGCTGGGCCCCATATGAACATGGATTGATTTTAGCAGCCGGCAGTTCTGATCGTTCAATTTCAATTTTGTCCTATACAAGTTGGTCCGTTTGCATTATATTTACTTTTTAAAGGTGTTAGTGCAGTTGATACTTAACAAACATTTACTAAAAAACATGAATCAATGAATCAACAAACAAATGAATCAATTTTAGCTTGTTTCAATTGAATGCACCGGAATAATGTTGTTTGCCTGCGTTTTAAAGGAATGCAAGATGTGTTTCAATTAACGATAATATTTTTCCGTTGAAGATTTTACACTGTTTTATCATTTTATCTTTCGAGTTATTTGCAAGTTCAACTTCATCACATAGATTATTTCTATGTTTAAAGTTAGTCTAATTGTCAGCAATGCTATTTAACATGGTTCGTTCGAAATAGAAGCAATCTATTTTGTGCATATATGCTGAAACATAAGGTATCGTTAATAACATTTTATATAACATTTTACGTAACATTTTTTATTGACAAACAGATGAAGGGACATGGGAATCAAAGAAAATCATCAACGCTCATGCTGTATGTACTTCTTATTCAATTTTGAAAAAAAGAATCAAAATTTATTTACTTATGTACAGAATCAATTATATTTTTATATGGCAATAGATAAAAAAAGCAGCAATGGAAACAATGGAAAATTATTAAACGAATTTTCCATGCCACAGGTGAGCTGCAATGCTGTAAGCTGGGCACCAGCCATCAAATCAGATTCCATCCACGACACTGCAACATCCATGTTACCTCCAAAGCGATTTGTCTCTGGTGGAGCTGATTATCTGGTTAAAATTTGGAGGTTTGTGTAGCGCTTCATATTTCATATCTATCTATATATTTTGGCTGGTTCTAGCAAATTGATTGTAAAAAGGTGTGAATGTGGATTAGGATCAAAAATAATATTTTAGTATTTTGAATTGAATCTGTGTTGACATTTTAAAGAGAAGACAATGGTCAGTGGGTGGAAGATCAGAAATTGGAAATGCATTCTGATTGGGTGAGAGATGTAGCCTGGGCTCCCTCCATTGGAATACAAAAAAACATAATTGCTAGCTGTTCCCAAGTACATATATTAAAGTTTACAAATTTTAAATTTGTAGTTATAATTATTTTTTTAGTTTCATAATCTGTAACGTTTCCCTTTGTTTATTTCTCAGTAGTCTAACATTGTAATAATTATGGCTGAGGTAGAGTCAAAAGACAAAATAATTTTGTTGAAATTTTTAGTCTTGAAAAGGAATAAAATTATATGAACAAGATATAATTGAACAGGAAACGTCCAAGGTAAAGGACAGAAAGGAATGAAGGATATTATCAGGTTTTGAACTTTTAAAAATTAGCGCCACGAGAGTTTTCGCGAACTAATTAGTTTGCGTCTTCTTTCTCGTGCCTTATCTTTTCAGGACATTGGCGACCATCGACCTCCACAAAACCCGATCTTTAACACTTTGTAATAGTTGAAATGTGGTGGTATTCAACAAGTGACACAAGGATTTCACGAATGTAATTCGTTGTTGATCACGATCTCTTTGCCCTGCAATCGTTCCAGTGATTGTTAGATTTTCCATTCTTTCCTATTGCATAATGCGACCAAAAAACTATAACTGGCTCGTCGGATTATCTGTAGTGATTTCATCTTTTCATAACCGGACTGTTTTAATACATCCTTATTCGAAGTATGAGAGGTCCAATTAATTAATCTTTTTCCCATATCTTTAGAAATTGTCTAGGACTCAGAGCCGTAAGTTAACATAGGAAAAAGGTAACACCCTAACAGTTTTAATTTTGTTGATATTCTGATTTTACTTTTAGTGAGGATGTTTTTTATTTTAGAATAAGCATCTTTTGCCATAGCTATCCTTCTTTTGATATCCATATCACATTTACAATCTGAGGTAATCAGACTTCCGAGATAATTGAAGCTGTTGACTTGTTTCACTTGTTTACCATTAATGATTATGGAGCAGATCGGGGTGGTTTTGCTTTTACTGAGAACCATGCACTCTGTTTTGTTGATGTTAATTTGTAAGCCTTTCCTTTCACTTTGAAAAACCAGTTTGGAAACAATTGTTTGCTGTTTTTCCATTGAATCTGCTTAAAGAGCTGTATCATCAACATGTCTTACATTGTTTATATTCACGTCTCTAATGGATATTTCCGGTAGATCTTCTATCTTTCTCATGATGATCTCACTATAGATATTGTACATGTCTGGAAAGAATACACAGCCTTGCCTAACACCTTTCTTTATTTCGCAAAACTAGTTAGTTTGTTACCAACTTTCATCGCTGCTCTCTGTTTTTGATAACTCTCTTGTCTTTTTTATCAATGTCCAAATTTTCCAATATTTTCATAAGCTCCACGTGTTTCACGCTATCAAAAGCTTTGGAGTAATCGACAAAACATAGACTATTTTTTCTTCATTTCAATCACTTCAGATCTAAGTATCTTTGGTTCTTCTACGTCTTTTTTAATAGGAGGCTTTTCACCACGGATCTCATCAAAAAAATAGTCAATGTATTCAGCCCATCTTTCAGGTACTTTTTCTTTCTCTAAGATTACTTCACTGGATTTAGCTTTTATGCATCCAGAAACAGTACAAGCCCCTTTTCCAGTGATTTCTTTGATGTTTTTATACATTGCTTTTGTATTACTGTTTTTGATCTTTTCAATGACTTTGCCTTTTTCATTTAACCATTTCTCCTTTGCCTCTAGGCACGTTTTTTTATTGTTTTGTCCAGCTTTTTTTAACCATCGGGATTGCAGCCTTTTACTTTCCTTCGTTCATCCATCAGAGATACGATGTCATCTGTTATCCATTTATGACCTCTTCTTTGCTCTTCTTTGCTCTTCTACAGGTATAACTTCCCTTGCTGATTTTGTGAGGGCATCTCTAAATATTTCATATTTAGAATTTTATACGTCTTCCGTCTATAAATGAAAACGATTCCGTATTTCAACGTTATACCTGACCTTGATCTCATCATTTTGTGACAGACTAACAAAGTTTAAACGTTTTTGGGCCACTTTCTCTTGATTTTCTTTAATTTTATTCTGATTTTACAAATAACTGGGTTATGACCACAGCCACAATCAGCTTTAGGGTAACTTTTGAATTGTAAAACAGCATTTTGAGATTGTCTATTTATTGTAATTTAATCAATCATATTTCTTACCTTGTCTCTAAAACTTTTCCAAGTATATTTTCTCCTTGGGTGATTGTCAAACCAGATGTTGGTAATAATTTGATCATTTGTGACACAACATTCAATCAACTTATCTACTCTTTCATTTCTTTCACCTAACCCATGAGAACCAACCACGTCATGTATTTTTTCTGAGCCAAATTTTGCATTCAAGTCACCCATCATAATAACAACTTCTTGAGGTTTATATGTTTTTAATGCATCATCAAGATCATTGTAAAAAGCATCAAGGTCTTCCTCACTGCTTTCAAACGTTGGCGCATAAACTTGAATAACAGCTAGGCTGACAGGTTTTGCGTGTATTTTAACCTACAAATTTCTATCTGACACCGACCAGAAACCTTCTAAATTTTTAGACATTTCTTTGTTTAAAAGAATTACCTCTAAACACCTCCAGATTAGATAAATTTGCCTTCTTTAAAGGTAATGACACCTGATTTCTTCCACCGAGTTTTGCTCAAACCTAGAATGCTGAGACATTCTTTTCATTTCTTGTTTTACTTTTTCAAATTTTTCAGTCTGGTACAATGTTCTAGCGTTCCATGTTATCACAGTAAAAGATGCATTCAACTTGTCACTATCATGTTTTTTCATTTGGTTTGTGTTTGTCGATGGTTTTCTTGGCATTAGTTGTGGACAGTAGGTTGCCATTACTTTCTGTCATCTTTTCTAATTCTAAATGAGATAAGTCATTGCAAATAAAATTATATAAGATAAATAAAGGAGTCAAACAAACAAATAAAATTGGATAAATCAATATAAAGTATTTGAAACTAATTTATAATAATTAAAATTAAAAATAATCTAGAAATAATAATGCATGAAAATCAAAAATGTAATCATATTAGAAAGTAAGCCAATATAATAAAATTATAAAATGAACAGGTTTGAACGTACATGGATATTTAAGCAAAACTATTAAAAAATAAATAGTTAAACACTTATTTAATGCAATTTATACGATGAAAATGAAAATACATAAACTAATATTAATAATAATGTTTTTTAAAAACTTTTTAATATCTAATAGTTAAGAATTAAAAGATTCTATTATTAAAGAAATAAAAGATGAAATCAATGAATTGTGATAATAAGTCAGTAATAAAACAACATTAAACAAACAAAATTCAAAATTAGATAAGAATATTTTTAAAATAAAAAACCGTTAAAACGATACAAAACGGTACATAAATTATATAAAAATAAATATAAAGAAATATATGAATATTTATAAAGTATGATAAATTAATTTAAATTTGAAATTAAGTTATTTTATCAAAATAAACTTTTCCAGAAATGTCTAAATTGCGAAATTTAACAAAATAACTGAAATAAAAAAAAGTTTGCGTAGCCAATGTAAAAATAGAAGAAAAGTCGATATGTAAGGAGTCGTTGCTAGCTGAGCAGAGATTAATCAGCAAATATTTTGGAGGGATTTTCGTAAAATTGGATTTGAATTAGTTGAATAGTTTTGGTAATTACACAATCGTTTTGTGAATTTTTATAGTTTGGTTGGTGAATGTTGTATATTCCAGGCTGTGGCGGTGAAAAGTTCATTTGTTGTTTTCTGGAGAGTTCATTTGTTGTTTTCTTGGGAGTTCATTTGTCGGTTTTTTGATGAGTTCATTTGTTAGTTTTTTTATATATTTCATCTGTTAGTTTTCCAGAAAAATTCATTTGTCAATTTTCCATGAAGTGTATTTTTTGGGGATTCCAGGAAAAAGTCGATAGTTGAAGCGACAGGAGACTTTGTCATTTGAAATAAAAGCCACACAGAACCCAGGATTATATCTTTTGCAGATTCATGTATTCACCCACTTGCAATTTTTCTTACAAGAGTGCTTTTTAATATTTGGTTTAGGAAACAAATAATCTTATCTACCTCTAGTCTTAGCTAATACAAGTCAGACCACTGGGAAAATAAGATAAAATTATTAATTAAATATAAATAGATATTTAGCTACCTCTACGGTTACCACAGTGTTTAAACACGATTAATTTTTATACAGAAGTGCAAAAGAAAATAGCTTCAAAATTTTGATAGAAAAAAGTTATTAACTTACATTGGGTCATACATAAATTTATCAATCAATCCTTGTTTATAGTCTCTATCCATTATAGGTCGAACATTTTTATTCTATTCATAGGCATCTGTCTCCAAGCCAATCTATCCATTGCTCCATTGCCTTTAAGTCCTCCTGTATAGTCTGCGTACAGGACTTCTTTGGTTGACCTCTTGTGCGGGTGCCAGGCGCCTGGTGTTCAGTAACGGGAATTATTGTATCGTTTTCGCTTCGCTTCACATGGTCAAACCATCGTAGGCGATGACGACGACATGCATCCTTCAACGTGCACAGTCCCGATCGGTTCAGGATCTCGGTTGTATGGATATGGTCCCTTAGGTCAACATGTTGCATCCAACGAATCTTCTTCATCTCAGTTTGGTGAAGCTGCTGTTCAAGTTTTGTTGTCATCGGCCACGTCCTGCATCATACATCAGAACCGAACATATAGCTGTGTTGTATAGCTCTGACCTCAGGAAGGAATGCTACGCCGTATCAGTACCGAGGCAAGGATGAGCTATCTGCCCCACGCCGCACGTATGCGTCCACGAACGGCGCCATCAGTTGTTCCAATACAATCCAGCACATATCCCAAATACTGAAATGAAGTAACAGTTTCGACCCCGGTAATCATATTATCATCTGGGCCCCGTTGTCGCGGGTTGATGCAGGCAGGGCTTACGAAATCAGTCACTTTCCTCAGTGAGTCGGTAATTTTCGAGCATCGTCTGTGACACCACTGCTGACATCTTAGGCATTTGATTGAGTTTCTTCCAACTCCAGCCCCACACACCGAGCATGGCCAATGACCAAAGACCACAGACTCAGCGGTACCACCAGTGATCATAGTTTTTGTTTTGTCAAGGTTTACCTTTAGCCCTTGTTCATCATCATCACCGTTTTAACGTCCGTGCTTCCGCATTTGTACGGGTTGGAAGGGTTTGGCGAGCTGGGTATCCCAGACCTCAAACTTTCTGGCTGAGTCTTGTTCTGAGGCCGCCGTCAGGACGATATCATCTGCACATATCACATTCCATATGTTATCTGAGCGTATCGATTTGGTTATTCCTTCCATCACCGTGATGAAGAGCAGGGGGCTGAGTATTGATCCCTGATGGACGCCGACGTTAATGTCAAATTCATTCGTGTTACCGGCTGTTGTGCTGACCAGAGTTTTTGTGTTAGAATACGTTGCCATAACCAGCCGAGCTAGATATTCGGAAGCAAGCTGTCTACGTAGACTTCACCTGATAACCTCACGAGGCACTCTGTCAAAAGCCTTTTCCAAGTCCACAAATACATGGTACAGTCGCTTTTGCTTTGCCAATTATTTTTCCTGTAGTTGACGAATGATATAAATAGCATCAATGTTAGATCTCCCTGCCATGAAGCCGTACTGGTAACCACCTATAGAAACGCTCGACAACAGTCTTTTCTAAATGACTTTTTCAATAACTTCCAGGGGATGTTCCAGAAGACATATACCCGATATGAGGACCATTTCAGTGGGTCTCCTTTTCCTTTATATATGTGTGCTACTGTTCCATTCCACTGATAGTATCTATTTACTCCACATTTCGTTTTGAAATCTGTAGCCAACGCCTCCATGGACACCGGTGAACCCATTTGCTTTATCTCCGCATATTGTTTCTGACTGAGTTTAATCAGCATTAGGTGTGAGCTGATTCGAGTCACTTCCAGTACATTTTGTGCCAGTGATTCCCGTATGAAGATTCCCACTCCATTTTGGACTGTCTTTTGAACATTCCAGAACAACTTTTACTTTCCAATGAAAGAGACAACATTTGATTTCCATCTTGTTTCCTGCAGAGAACAGATGTCAACCCTTCGCCTTTCCGGCATGTCAACGATTTCCATGGAGGGTCCAGTAAGCCATCCAGTATTTAAAGTTCCAAGTCTGATATTCTAGGAGGGGACGCCCGATTTTCTACAACGTCCCTCCACTGTTGCGTTGGAATTGAGGATCTTTTCTATTTTGTGATGACATGGAAGATGTTTGGATCAAAAAATTGTTATATCTGGAATTGCCCAATTCCTAACGACAACCACTTTCCTCTATCCACCACCATGAGGGTGCACCCCAGCATGAGGTTTATAATAAACTTATAATAAGAAAGTAAAACAATTAAATATTTGCTAATTGTGAACTGTACCAGTTTTAATAATCAAAATTAAAACGAAATTCTATTTCTTCAAATCTTTTACTTCAAATCACATTTTAATCTAGGGAATACATTTTCAAACCTTGAAACTTGAAAAATAATTGATATATTTAAGTAAAATTTTATTTTCATCAACGAAGTACATTACCGTGTCCATTGTTAAAATGAAAGTCGGGGATGGTTTTTTAAAAAATTATCAGACTGAGGAAGAACTACTTGTCAAAAAAATTAATATAAAAACTGATTTATTTTTATACTGTTTGTTAAATTTTTTTAATATAATTATTTTTGCAACTAATATTTTGAATACATATTGATTTTGATGTTTTTAAAATGTTTTTTTTACATAATTTTTACATAATAAGTTTTGATCCTAAGTTTCAATTGTAGGATACTTGTGTGTATATATGGACCAATGATGGAACCTCGTCTACCTGGACTCCTAAGCTTCTTCACAAATTTGGTGATGTCGTTTGGCACCTCAGCTGGTCGGTAACTGGTAATATTTTAGCAGTTTCTGGGGGCGATAACAAGGTATGTTTATAAAATAGTGTTGATGCAAGAATCTTTAACTAATGCTCCTATTATTTTTTCAACTTTTCATATAAAATTTTTAAAGTAGTTATTATTACGAAAAGTTTAGAATAATTTTTTATCTGCAATCACAACTCTAGCTTTTATTATTACTTTTGCTGTTAGTATTTGAAATGCTTTTTCAGGTGAGTTTATGGAAAGAAAATCTGGAAGGAGATTGGACTTGCATCAGCAATGTAGTCAAGGGACAAGGAGAAACAGCTTTTAAATAGTTCATTAACTTTTTTTACACTGAGTACAGTTAATTTTTATTACTTCTCTTAAAACGGATATTTAAAATTTTCATGTAACCCTTTTCATAGTTTTAAAACTTCTGTCATTTTGTGCACCTACACTACACTTACATTTAGTGCGATTAAATAAAATAAGTAACTTTGCAGGATGATGTTTTGAGCTATTTATTATGTTTTGGGCCAATCATCTTAAAAAATTAATACTGAGAGTTTCAAAACAAACCACATCTTAACTAATCAAAATTTTAAAAAACTGTCTTGGCACAGATTCAAATTATATTAATACTATACAATATTTAATAATTGTTCTACAAACAAGTTAAAAATCCTTCAAAATCTTACATTGTCTTTCAGTCGTCAAAGAAAAATCTTTTACATCACAAGAAATTGGAGGTTAGCGCGAACCAGTATTCGTATTTAAGTTTGTCATATATACGAGGCCAAAGTGGTCTTTTTAATTCTAAACACAACTTTTGGAAAATGCAGATCACCCTTTACCTTTTTACCACGCTTTGCAAAAGGACTTAGAATATTATTTGCATACTGAAAAACAATTTTGTTTCTACAATAGCAATCTTTTCAAATTATAATGCCAAATTTTTCGAGGTTAATGTCGAAGGTTTTAACTTTCACTTGCAAGTTATTTAAATGTGAAGAAAAACTATTCAACACGATATTCATGATTAATCATCTTACTTAAGCATAGTGAAACAAAATTTCAAAAGGAGTAAACTGTTTTTGATTATCGGCATGACGGTACTTAGCGTCCATCGTTACTTAATGTTACCTCGTTTTACAAATTCAATTTCTGCGTATGGTAATGATCAATGAAACGATTTGACCTGTTTCATGCACTCGTGAGCGTTACATCTCACTCAATGAAATCTCGAGTTGACTTGTATATTTGCTTTGGCTTAAAATGGATTGAAAAATGCTGTGTGGAGACACTGCAACCAGCCTTTTTTCCTACCTGATTCTTAAATTTTTGATGTTTCTCACAAGTAGTCTAGGCTTTATCTTTGATTTTAGCATGTCTCTTTCTTTTCAGATTAATAGTGTTGCTAGAAGTTCTTACCTTCATCTACGTAGAATGAAAAAAACTTTTGCCTTTTCTTGACGATCCTACTCTTTTCCTTCTTGTTACTTCTTTAGTTTTATCTAGGATTGATTATATTGTAACTCGCTCTATTATGTTTTTCCTGATTTTACACTCTATCCTTTAAGTAAAGTCTTCAACTCTGCTGCTCGTCTAGTTGTTCGTGCTCCTTTCTTTTCTCCAATCAATCAATCAATCTTCGTTTAGCGTCCAGAAACCCAGTTCCCCCGAGGTAGGACGTGTCTTTTCTAATATATCACCATGTCTTGTTCTCTTGCACTGGCTAGTGGCTACCTATAAAATATGGAATAATTATTAAAATGTGCACTTTAATGTTTAAGTCTCAATCTAAATTATTTCTTAAGTACCTATCAAATATATGAATTGAACCTAAACGCCCCGGTTTACGATCGTTTTCTTGTTCTCATTTCTTCTTAACTCGTGTTAAACACTCTTTTACTAAATCTTTTTCTGGAACTCTACCTCCTTTTCTGATTACTTCTCCATCACTTACGAAGTTTAAAGCGGATCTTAAGACCCATCTGTTTGCAAAATTCATTGAGGAGCGCTGTTGAACATCGGGGCAATACCGCTTTATAAACTAATTGATTGATAGATAGATTGATTGATTACTATAGAGTGGATAAATATCATATACATTAACTAGTATTTACATATGTTTAGACATATAATTTAGTGTGCACGCTTTGTTTTCACAGCCTGTGCGGCTGCCTCTAGATAGTGTGCACGCATTTTTTCATAGTCTGTGCTGCTGTCTCCAGATAGTGTGCAGGCATTGTTTTCCTGTGCTGCTGTCTCTGGTTGCACGTATTGTTTTCACGGCCTGTGCATATCTGTCTCTAGATATGGGTTCTAGAAACAATTGTTCCGTTTGTAGTAAAGCTGGTAAGGAAGTTCATACTACCCGCTATGGATTATGTGAATGTAAGTTGCATTATACGTGTGCTGGTAGTGATGACATTTCTGGCAAAATGGCAAAGTCAAAAAATATAGTGGTTTTTTGCAATACATGTCTTGACAACTTGATGTCTCTTAAAAGCGTTAATAGTGTCGTTGAATCATTTAAAGAAAGCCAAGCCATGCTTTCTGCTAAGATTGATAAAATTATTCTTCACAGCACTGATTTTACTAAGGAACCACAACAACAACACACGTTTAGACGACATTTTTCCCGAGATCGGAGGTTGCCGTTTGGCTACCTATGATGAAACCAAAAGACCCCTCGACGCCATTCACATCTGTCACTTGCCTCAGTATCACGCAACCCCGCTTTCACTCTGTCCTTCTCCACTTGCTCTCTCCATTCCAATTGCGGACGAAGGAAGTAACTCAAATAAAAAATGTAATTTTGGATAAGGAAACGACCACAATTAATAACAAGATCTTCAACACGAAATGACAGTGTTGAAGAATGAATTGAAAACTGGTTGGTCTGATGCGGTCAAAAAAATCTTAGATGATGGTTTTAAACTAGTTGAATCTGAAGTTAAAAATGTTCAAAAAAGATTGGATGACGATAGTGAAACAATGGAAAGGCAAAACAATATTATGATATTTGGTTTGAAGGAAAATGAGTCATTGGAGGAGAATAAAAAAATCGGTCTCCAGGTTGTTACAACATCTATATGGTGACACTTCAAATATAGTTGTAATCAATCAATCTTCGTTTTGCGTCCAGAGACCCGGTTTCCCGAGGTAGGACGTTGTTTTCTTTGCCATCAACCTTTTGCGCCAAATTAGACGATCAGTTGTATCCATTTTATT